AGGTAAATAAAAGGCCTTTGTTGTTTGTTAGTTTTGGGGTTATGTTATTTTACGTCATATTTATTTATATTATTTGCTTTCCCATCAAAGAAAGTAATAAATTTTAAATACTTTAAAAATACATACCATCATTGACTCGGTAACATAAATTACACTTCCATCTCCTTTGATCAAGAAAACTGACAAAAGGGTTGATGTATGTCCTGCATGAACGGCATCTCACAATTGTACTGGAGGTAACCACAGGCAATTGCTGAAAAAACAGAACTAATTTTTTTAAGAGAGTGATTATCATGTTTAAAGGTCAAACATTAATCTATTCCTTCTAAAGAACTGGACAATACTGTAATTTTAAGGAAAAATGTTAGAGTGAAAAGAGATGTCCAAATTACCACACAAAAAACTATGTAGCTGAAATGCATTAATTTAAAATCTTACTGTTTTTCTTCAAAACTTCCTCTTTAAATTTGGCCTTTGAAAAGCTGTTTGTTTTTTCTTAATTGCTTAGCCTGCAAAACCACTACAGCAAATTTACAATGCATATTTGAGATAAACAGGCAAGGAAATAAGATCAGCATCTGAAAACAAATGACCAGTTAATCTCTAGTAAGTTTCTTAATGTTCTGTTACTAAGCCTACTTCTTATTGTCTGGTAGACTCTCACTCATAGCAATCCTATTGACAATAGATCTAAGCAGTTCCCAATCCCGCACCACCCTCAATCTCCAACATGCTCAAAGCCCACTGCTGAAGCAACCATGTCAATCTATCTCACTGAGGTGTTTCCTCATTTGTGCTGATCCTCCCCCTTCCCAAGTCATTTTTACAAAGACTAGCCCCTCCTGAAAACATGCCCAAAGTATGAGAGACAAAGTTTCACCAACCTTGTCTCTAAGTAGTATTCTAGCTGTACTTCTTCAAAGACAGATTTTTTTTTCTTTTGGTAGCCCACTGTATATTCAATAGTCTTCACCAACTCCACATTTCAAAGACATCAATTCTTCTTTGGTCTTCTTTATTTACTGTTCAATTTTCACAAGCCTATGTGGCTTGAGTCAGGAGTAACTTGGTCTTTAATATCCTTGCTCATTAGCACTTTGAAAAGGTACTTGACAGCAGATTTCCCTAATGCAACACATCTTTTGAATTCTAGCCTACTGTCATCATGGAAGGGAACTCTGGTGACCTAGTGGGTAAGAAATTGTGCTACCAACCCAAAGGCACATGGTTCAAATTCACCAGCTGCTCCACAAAAGAGAGAAAGGCAATCTACTCCTGTGCAATTTACAGCCTCTGGAAAGTCACTGGAGGGTCAGCTATCAATCAATTTCATCTTGATAGCACATAATCACAATGGCTAGCATGAGTGTTGAAACTCTTGATGTCCATCTTTTCACCATTTATCATGAAACTGCCTATTTTTGTTTCCTTGAAGTATAATCCATACTTAAGTAAGCCTACTTAGCTCTCATGAAAGAAGTAGATCAATATTTGTTCCCATTCCAAAGAAAGGTGACCCGACAGAGTGTGAAAATTATCAAACAATATCATTAATATCATATGTAAGCAAGATTCTGACCAATTAAATTATCCAAAAATGACTGGAGCAATACAGCAACACAGAACTGCCAGATGTGCAGGCTGGGTTTAGAAGAGGTCATGGTACTAGGGATATTATAGCTACTGTTAGATGGATCTTGGCAGAAAGCACAGAGTACCAGAAGAATGTCTATCTGTGCTTCATTGACTATGCAAAGTCTTTTGACTGTGTGGATCACAACAAGCTGTGGTTGACTCTGAGAAGAATGGGAATCCCAGAACATTTGATTGTGCTGATGCAAAACCTATATTTGGACCAAGAGGCAGTCGTCAGAACAGAAATGACACACTGCATGGTTCAAAATTAAGAAGGGGGTCTTAGGATGTATTCTGTCTCCATACCTTTTCAATCTGTATGCAAAACAGATCATCTGGGATGCTGGGCTGTACGAGGAGGAATGTGTCGTCATGATTGGTGGAAGATTTATTAACAGCTTGCATTATGTAGATGACACAAACCTGCTTGCTGAAACTGAGGAGGACATGAAGCCCTTGCTGCAGAAGGTCAAGGACTGCAGCCTTCAATACAGATTGGAGCGCAACATCAAGAAAACAAAGATTCTCACCACAGGCCAACTGGCAGCATCAGTATGGATGGTGAAAACATTGAGACAGCTAATAGTTTTAGTTTGCTTGGCTCCAGTCAACACTCTTGGTACTAGCAGCCAGGAAATCAAGAGATGAATTGCACTGGGAAAGTCAGCTATCAGGGACCGCTCCATAGTACTGAGGAGCAACGATGTCAGGCTGGAGACTAAGGTGCACCTGCTCTGGGCTATCGTTTTCACAACTGTGTGCTATGCATCAGAGAGCTGGACAGTGACTAGGATGATAGAAAAAGAATTGATGACTTTGAGCTGTGATGCTGGAGAAGAGTATTGAATATACCATGGACTGCTAGGAGGAAAAAACAGGTTTGTCCTGGAGAGGGTAAAGCCGGAATGCTCCTTGGATTCAAGGATTTTGAAGCTTTGTCTGACATACTTTGGGCATATTGCAAGGAGGGACCAGTCCCTGGAGAGGGACATCATGTTTGGGAGAGTGGAGGGACAGAGCAGGAGAAGACAACCCTTGATGAAATGGATCAATTCAGTTATTGGGGGAGTGGGAGTAGGTGTGTCGGAGACAATGAGGTTGGCACAGGACAGAGCAGGTTTTAGGGCTCTTGTTCATAGCGTCGCTATGAATCGCAAGTTACTCGACAACACATACCACCATCACCAAAGCTAAATTATGCTATTTAAATATTCAATGAATGTTGCAATGTTTTTAAAAATATATTTCGTACATTAAAATTTCAAAAGCAAAAAAAAAAAATTTTCAAAAGCATTAAAACCAAAACTTAGTATAGAAATAATATGCAATGCTACGCATAAGGAGGTTAGTTTGGGCAAGTTATCCAGCCCAGGTACTGATGCTCTCAGAGGTAAACAGCCATCAGCGAAGGCCCTATCATAAGCCATAACCCAAACCTTAGCACAAAGGTACAATAGATTCTTTTCACCCAAATTTACTTTAAGGATGGGAGAACTAGGAGATTAGGTGGGACATTCTAATGGACAAATAATTTGCCACTTTAAAAAATAGTATATTTCCCAATTTTCTTTTAGTTAACTGTTCAGAACTGCTTAGTTTTTTTTTTCAATAATGTTTATTATTTTCTCTCATTTTGAAACTGTTTGGTAATTTGGAGATGAAAGGCAAATTAAGAAATCACGTTCCTAAAGGTGAGAAAAATTCTATACTGTTCTTGCATTGTTATAGAAATTTTACTATTTTTATTGTGGGAGGAGTTGGGTTAGTTTGTTTTTAATTAATAAGTAATCTAGGGCTGGCACTGTTTGCTAGAATTACCACTTAAGACATTAATTTGTAAAGCAAGAATTTATCATTCAATTTACATTTCCTTCCTGCTCAGCTATCAACTGTGTCATTTAAAACCCAAGTGAAACAAGATATTTACTTTTCGTAATGAAACATACCACTAAGTCTTTGAAAGGATGAAGCAGGAGTCCCAAGGGAAGTTTGGCTTTATTCAGTAAGGCCTGAGTCTGAGGAATGCCAGTCAGGGTGCATCGAAATAACCTACATCAAAATAAAAATACCAACATGTCAGCTACTATTATTATTTTTGGACAAAAATATTTTAAAGGGACACATCTTAACATTGGGTCAGACAACAAATGAAAAAGTTCAAAAGACATTCTCAAAGTTTATTCCATTAAAATTCATTAAGTCTATACTCCATTCAGAAGTAGAGGATACAGTTAAACTTAGATTATTTTTTTTATTAAAGATTCTTTTTTTAAAAAAAATTTCTTTTATTATATTTTGTGTGTGTACCGTCAAATCAGATCTGACTGATACAGGAGGATACTGCCCCTCCTTCTCCTGCAGAGAATCTGGTGGATTTGAACCACACGCCTCTGGGATTGCAGTGCAGCTTCTTGCCTCTAGGCCACCAAAGCTCCCTTAAACTTCTAGATTATTTAACAAACGACTCGATGGCACATAACAACAACAACAACAGTAACAGTCTCATCACAGCTTGTGCATAAAATAAACAAATGATTTCTTTTTTCTTTCTATAAATCTAGATTGTGATGGGAGAGTCTGTTGTTAGGGACCTCTCTAAAGTACTCAAGAGCAATGGTGTCTCTCTGGAGACTAAGGAGCGCCTGATACAGGCCATGGTCTTTGCAATCACTTGCTATGCATCAGAGAGTTGGACAATGACTAGGGAGGACAGAAGAAGAATTGATGCCTTTGAGCTGTGGTGTTGGAGAAGAGTATTGAATGTACAATGGACTGCCAAGAAAACAAACAGATTCATCCTGGAGAGGGTTAAACCAAGCAACTCCTTGGAGGCAAAGATTCTGGGGCTTCATCTGACATACTCTGGGCATATTGCAAGGAGGGACAGGTCCTTAGAGAGGGACATCATACTTGGGAGAGTGGAAGGACGGCGCAAGAGGGGAAGAACCTCTATGAGATTGACTGATTCAGTGAATGGAGTAATCGGGATGAGTGTGTCAGAGGTAGTGCGATTGGCACAGGACAGAGCAGGGTTTAGGCCTATTGTACATAGGGTCGCTATGAGTCGCAAATGACTCGACGGCACATAACAACAACAAATCTAGATTACCCTAAAATTTAAGGGATAATATCCAAATTTTAAAATTCAATCTAAATTACAGAAAAGTTTAGTTTTGTTGAGGTTTCTAAAATATTATTTACAAATAACCAAATTTAACAAATTCACTTAAACATGGTAAATTTTTAGGAACAAAGGAAAATTATAATGACTGATACAAATAATAAATGTTAAATAAGATCAAATAAAGGATTACATAGAATCAAATCCTTGTACTTTAGACTTTCTTTGAAGAGGTATGTAACCAGCACAGCAAGTATCATTATCACAGCTGATAAGAACAGTAAGGGCAGAACCCAGTTCACAGGTTAAACCTGATTTCTCAACTTACAACATTTCAAATCTCAGTGAAGTAACAAGCAAGTGACAGAGCTGTTTTCGAGATGAACTACTTGTGTAAACTAATACACTTGAACAGCTTGTCCATAAAATTTTAAAAATGCAAACTTATTGTCACTGAGTTGAAACCAACTGATAGCTGACCTTCCAGCTGTAAGGAGACTATAAATACCACAGAAGGAAACTACGCATCTTTCTTCCTCAGAGCTGCTGATGGATGTGAACTGCCAAGAAGATGCCACCTTTGATTAGTAGAGTGACTCCCTCCCTACCAATGATGCCACAAAAGTTCTGTTTACAGCTTCCCAAAAATCCACTTGAGGTTCAGCTGTGCATCAGTTCCATTTCAACAGCAATGACAAATGAGCATTCATGATATTAGAGAGAATAAAAACACCACTGAGAACTTTTAATAAGGACTTTTATGTGAAGTCTTACTCTGGGCTACAGTTAAGTTTCTGGATGTCTTCATGCAAATTTGGAACTGGAGGTTGCAAAGGTGTTGATGGAAGCATATTTCTTTCTTGAAGCAAATTAATAACTCTCAGACCTTCTGGATGTAGATTTAATCCACTCATGCTTGCAGTTAAATGATTAGCACCTAAAGGAGGCTATAGATAAACAGTTTTTAAGTAAATAATACCATGATGTCTTTATTTGAAAACAAGTATTACTAACCAGATCTCTATAAATTAAAAAGTTCTATAACTTACAAAACAGTAATTTAATTTCCTTATTATAGTTTGGGCTCAGAAGAACATAAAAGAACAAAGCCCTTATAAGCTTTCATTAATATTCTAATATTCAGTGTAGCTTTCCAGAAATTTTCTTCATGTATAATGAAGTTTAAACAAAAAAAGGGGAAGATAGGGGAAATACCAAAAAGTTCACCTGAGGAAAAGTCTGTGGCCCACGTGGATAACTCAATGAAGAGGGAGGCATCCCAGAAGGTGGTGTTCCAACTGGGTTAGCCGGTGTTGTGTTCTGATAACCAGGTGGTAAGGAGGGATAGGAATATCCAACACTTCGGCCCATTTTAGGATTCTTATTAGTGAGCTGTGGTGTTGCTAGAAACAAGTTAACTTTTAAGTTCTATTTTATAATCCAGAATATTTCAGATGAACACATTTCAAAGTCAACTAAGATACTATAAACACCAAAATCCTCTAAATATTTAGTACACTTATATATCAATTTTATTTAAAACAAAAAAAATCAAATGCTGTGAACAGTGATTTAGTCTATGTTTACTATAGTATACTTAATGAAGCATATGCTATAAATACAAAAAATACATGTGGCATAATTAATTTCTTTTTATATCATGTATTAAATTTATATTCAGGCTAAAATTCTGATTCAAAGAACTTTAAATGAAAACATTCTAGATGCTCAGCTAGGAGACTAAAGAGATCCAAATACCTAGTAGTTATAAAATGATAAAACTATAGTCAACAGTCCCAACTGTACATGGAAAAAGAAAAAAAAAATACTTAGATCAAAATCCATGTGACATGACTACGAAATTTTGTCGTTTGTTTCTATATTTTCCAAATTTCCTATAGTGAACATACATTACTTTGAAATAAGAAAGAAAAAAAAGACTTAAAAACAAAAACAATTTTCATAGCATCTCACCCAAGAAGCCACCTCCTTCAATTTCATCATAACTGTTGTGGGCCACCATAGATCCATTATTGGTATCTGATGTACCACCTATGTAAGGGACATTTAGTAACAGAACAATTATTATAATTTCCATTTATAAGAATGTCTAACATTTAAGTTTCCAAAAACAACAGAGTTTAAACCAAAGCCTATGTCAAAAATTTATGTAAAAAATTGAAATACAAGTTATATCCACAAAAATTTTTCAAGTTTTAAATAACAGAAAAAAATTCCAACTAATTTAGATGCAATGTCAATGAAAGGAGTCATGATTGTTCTTGTTTTGCTTTCTCTCATATTGTGCTTAAAACGAGATCTCCAAAAGCAAAGCTTGCCAAAATCCAGTTTCAACATGCCAGCAATAATAGCAAAACTCAGTAAGAATGAAATCAACAAATGCTAATGAGGGTGTGGATAAACTGGAAATCTCATACATTGATGGTGGAACTATAAAATGGTACAACGACAGGAGAAAACAATTTGTCACTTCCTTATAAAGTTCTAAGGAGAAACAGCATTTGTCCCAGCAGTCTCACTGCTGGGTATATAAGCTAAAAACACCAGAGCTATGACACAGTTACACACCCATGTTTATTATAGCATTATTTTACAATAGCAAAGAGATGAAAACAACCCAAATGTCCATCAGTAAATGAATGGACAACTATGATATATACACAACACAACAGAATGCTATGGAACACCAAAAACATTAAGAATTTGTCAGGGGAGTTCTGGTGGCCTAGTGGCAAGGAGCTGCAACTACAATCCCAGAGGCGCACGGTTCGAATCCACCAGATGCTTTGCCGGGGAAGGAGGGACAATCTCCTCCTGT